TTTTTTTTTCGCTACACGACCCGAGTCTGAGCTGAGTTCATATGTTATCGAATGAGGAAAATTGTTTCATAATTTGGTTTGTTAAGTTCACAAGTTGAGCTCAACGAGTTCTGACTTACCGCTCAATAAATAATGAGTCTCCCTCTTTCTGCCTTAGAAACTAATCCATGTCCTTTGCAGGAGCAAAAGAAATTCCATGAACAGCTGAACAAGGAACAGGATTCGGTGTTTGGCTCCACACCAAGCCCACGACACCCAAGCACCAAGAAAACGGCCGGGCAGCGGGCGAATGCAGCAGCCAGCAGACGTCTATCTCTCAACGTCCATCAAAATGGTGCGAAATCCGTGAATAGAGATGGGAAGAGGGAGTCTAGGCCGGTGGCCCCACTGAACTTCGTGGCCATATCCAAAGAAGATGCAGCATCGCACGTGTCCGTGACAGATACTCTCTCGAGTACTCCTTAACTTCGTCTGAATGTTTTGTTCTGTCTGTATATCGGCCGAGATACATTTTGTTTGTCTTTTTAGGGAAAAGTTTGTTGTAGGAAAGATGCTTTGTTCCAAATGTGAGTTGAGGTAGACTCTGGATGGCATTGGATGTTTGTGTTTTTTTTTTTTTTTTTATATAATTGGGTTTAGTGAGTCCCTTTGACTTAGGTTTAGCTCGTTTGGTTCATTTTACTGAAGATAGATTTGATTCAACATTTGCTGCATTATTCTCTGTGCATCGAAGACTCATTATCTACTGAAAGTTGCACCGTTAAAAGTGTATGTTTTTACATGTTGTATGTCTGATGCGAATGATCTAAGAATGCATATGACTGAGCCTGACGCGCTCGTATAAAAGAGGCCAACAGCATCAGGCCCAAGCACATAAGGCCACGGCAGGCCCGAGCAGCAAGCCTTGTACCGAGCAACAGGCCAGGGCAATGCAACTGCAGTCATCCCGCGATGATGCCCAGGCCTAACATCGCGAGCTATGTCACGAGTCGAAAGAGGCTATAGGTCTCCGGGCTGTCACGCCGCGACACCACGCCATCCATACGCCATGAGCTCTGTAACGAGCCAACTGAGGCTGAGAAATTCAGATGTCCACTCGACCCGTGAATATGGACAAGAATAGCAGCAGCTATGAATAGGCAGGAGCAGTTTCCTTCAATGCTTTTTAAATTTTCTCTAGGACATTTGTTTGCATGTTTTTCTTTTATAAACTCTTCCAATGTGTTCATTTGGTTTTGGGATTTTCATCTATCCTACAAGATTTAGATTTGTTTACGATTTTGCAGCTAATATAACTTTAATTGCATATGTACCTAAACCTATTGACATAATTGGAGATTTACTTGATTCCAGTTACCATACAAAAAAAGGTTGAATCATAAGAGAAAGAAATGAAAATAAATAACTTACTCATTTAATTCCTTAATTCGCGCAACTGAAATTATTTAATTCACACAACTGTCAGGTGGTATATATTGCGTTTATGTTAATATATCTTCACTAGATGTGCACAATTGGAATTCCTTAATTCATGCAGTTGTCATGTGGTATATATTGCGTTTATGTTAGCATATATTCATTATATGTTGTGATGAAAAAAATGTCTTCCATCAAAAAATTATATCTTCTTATTTTTTTTTTCTTTTATACATAAAAGTATATATATAGTTTAAAACATATTATAGCAGATTACTTAATATAAAACCATACATATACACAACACCAACAAAAATTTCAGTTTATGCTAAATATAAATAGATTTTATACATAAAAATTATGTCTCGCGATAAATTTCTTTATCATATACCAAAAATATACTGAATATAAACTATACATATATAAAAAAAAAAAAGATAAAAAAAAACAGTTTATGCTTTGTCAATATAAACCAGACATACATTTAAGGTAGCTCTTGTATTATACAGAAGATATATACTCCATATATACACAACATATACCCGCAACTTATACAAAATGAAAACTATCTATCTACGAAGCAAGTACATCAAGTGTTCAACAATTATCCTCTGAGAATTTTATTATCTAAAACATATACTACACATATACTGAACATATACAACATATACACGCAACATATACTGCCGATTGCCTCGTTAAAGAAAAAGAAAAAAAAATCCTCAGAATTGAGTGCTTTCTTTTTCAAAGAACCAATCCTCGTTCTTCTTTCATCCTCAGAATTTTCAGAATCGGACTTTCTCTTCTCTCATCACCACCAGATGAACCATCAAAACCTGTTTTCTATTGGACAAAATTAGCATAGACATTTAAGTAATGAGTTCACAATTTCCGCAAGAAACATCCAAAATGGACACAAAAAACCCATATATCCACCAAACAAACCAAAAAAAAAAA